TTTTTGTTTTTTTAGGTATTTGTGTCATAGACAAAGCATAGTTTCTAGACCTGGTAACAATAGATAACAACCACCAGTATTATCCACGATTCGGGATGACAAGAAAACTGAATTATATTTTTCTGTTTGCTTCGAAAAAACTAATGAGCGGAAAGTACAGGATATCGCAGACATTTTTTTTTTTTTAATTTTGTAGCATTTTTTTATAGTCTTTCAAAAAATAATCATCAAATTTTGCGCTAAGCATTGTTTTTTAATAATTTCCGAAAAGGTAAACAAAAGTGCTGGGGTAAATATTTTTTACTGTTATGAAAATGTTATAAATTATATAATAAAACTTATGAAGGTTTGAAAGACAATGTAGCTCTATGAAAATTAACGAGCGTTGGAAAAATGATATTTTTGTTTTTTTAGGTATATGTGTCATAGACAAAGCATATTTACTAGACCTGGTAACAATAGATAGAAACCACCAGTATTATCCAGGATTCGGGATGTCAGGGCGACTGAATTATATTTTTCTGTTTGCTACGAAAAAACTAATGAGCAGAAAGTACAGGATATCTAATAGTAGGAGTGACCAGAAGGGCCTTCCATGTCACAAGCTGAACCAACAAAATTTTGAGGGAGCACATTTTTTGGCTTGCAGCACACACAGGGAGCACGGGATTACAGACTTTCGAAGGTGGCAAATATTTACACACCGTGTAGAAGAGGAAAGAAAAAAAAATAAACGAAATGAAATTCAAACTGCATTTAGACAGCGACTATGAGGGACTTCAATCAGAGAATGGCTTTCTAATGATGTTGATTATGAGGTTGAGGAAGTAAATTAGATTAATTTGAATGGTTTCTTTTTTACTTTCACTTACCTGTATATGTAAAAATAAGTAAGGGAAAATATCGCAATCGTGAAAATTTTCGAATCCGAGTTTTCAACGGAAATACGCGTTTTGAGGTCCCCTGAATATAAATAACCAAGTCCCGAAAATGATCTGTGTGTATGTATGTGGTAAGTCTACCTCGAAAACGAAAAGTCGTACGAAACTGATATTACGTATTTAATATAGGTGTATGCCTTGGATGTGACAGGACCGTTTTCATTAAAATCGACTAAACGGAAGTGGTACTTTGTGTCAACGGTTATACATATTTTTACAATTTTCTCAAAAATGGCTCCAAAGATTTTAATTAAACTCGGTGTAACATTGTATAATTAAGTAGTCTTTAATATCCCCTATTCCCATTTATGTCACTTTACAGAGCTTAAGTGTTTAACATGTATTCCTCTAAATAACCTTTAATTTGGTTTATTTTAAATAATTAATCATCTTTCTTATTAAGAGTTACGAAAAAAATGCTAAATATAACTTTTGAAGGATTTGATAATTGATTAATGGAGAAAAAAGGGAAAATGCTTATTTAGGTCGAAAATGAATTTCCGGAAATACTAGTCAGAAGGTATTTTCGTATAACATATTGTTGGAAAGCGGAGAATTTTAGAAAAGACGGTATCTAATATAGAAAGTCGTAGAAAGTAATAGAGAGTGACGAAAAATTATAAATAATAATTTGTGAAAACTAGACAGAGAATCACTTTATTATCATAAAAGGGTGCTGCCCAATTACATTAGGTTGCTTTAAACACAGCATACTTATTAATCGCTACAGACAATTTTCCAAAACTAATATACAATTATATAGTATTAACATGTATGAGCATAATATACAATTTTTTTTTTTTTTTTATCTATATATATATATATTTTGTTATCATATTTTTTTCCCTATATTTATATGTTTTTATTATATTATATGTTCCTATATGTTTTTTAGGATATTAAATGAAATTTACTAACTAAATGTAAACTCTTTTTAAGTTTGAAAAAAATATTTAAAATCCACCTAATCAAGGCAATGGTATTGTTTAAGAAACTATTTCATAGTACTTATGTGAAGAAGTGAAACATAAAAATATTCCATGGATGTATAAAGCATATGATTATAACCTTAAATGCATTTACTGTAGTTTAATCATTCTAGATCTGATATTTAAATATTTAGATATCAACGTCCGTTTATCCCAAAACATCGTCATGCAACCTTTTAGAAAATTAAATTCGTGAATTTTCTCTTTGTGAAATCTAAACATTCTCCACTTAAAATTAGTGTGACAACTTTTGACCTATCAATGGCAAGAAATGAAAATCTCGTAATTTCATTTTAGTAAACGGATGTAATTAGTACAAATGGAGTACCGAGATATTCATTGCCTACCATTTATATATTAATAGGGTTTTTGTTATTTTAGAAGTATTAATGATTTTTTTGCTCTAAGTTTTAAACTATACCTGCGTTAAAAGTGCATTTTAAAAATTTTGTAATTTCTCAACATTGACAGAAAATAATTTCTATTCAAAGTAGAGAGGTAAGTGAAAGTTTTGTGTTGTGCGCAGGAGATTCTTTTTATATTTAAATAATCATATGTTATTAAAGTAGATGTTATTTGTATCCCCCCTTTACTTTGTTTTAATAAAATATGTGGGTGCCTAATACTTTTGACCAAGGGTGTAAATATGACATTTTAAAGACAAATGCAATTTTTAGTGAAATCGTTAAAAGTTGCCTATTAATTTGTATTTTGAGAGTTAAATTGGGAAATATTGGAGACAATAGTATCACTTAGCCTTCGTTCTAAGGAAATTCAGGAAAGGGATCCATTTCATTTAATCTTATGAAAATGTTATAAATTATATAATAAAACTTATGCAGGTTTGAAAGACAATGTAGCTTTACGAAAATTAATGAGCGTTAATAATATAACACAAAAAGCGTAATTGGAATGCGTTCATTTTAAGGATTTTTTCCTTCTCTGAATCTCTGTGCCCTGGCTCTTCAATGATGGATTATATTTTTCCATTTCCTTAGATTCTCGGTACCCTTCCTGTTAAAATCTATACCGCCTCATTAGGCACACTCAGGTTCGACTTATCCTTGTCTGATTTTTCTTTCAGGAGGATAGTTTTAGTTTTTATAGCGGTCATTTCCGATTTATTCATTTCACGTCATCGCCCTACCAGGTTTGCGCGCTGTTCTGCGTTTTATTTCCTCTCCTGGTTTTGCTGTTAGAACCGCTGCAGCCGCAAGATCTTGAACTCACAAAATATTATATTCCATAGGACCATACTTAAGAATGATATCTGAAGACCTTTCTTTTCTAAGAAAGCTTCTGTCTCGAAGAAAGTTGTCCTGGATATAGCTCCTAACGACTACGCTGAGTTGTTGAGGGCTTATTACTTCAGTAGTGCAGCAGTTGCTGGAGTTCTAGGGACCACCAGATGCTATTAAAGGCGGATGATATATCAAACAACAGCAAAATCGACAAGTCGAAGCAATGTGTCGGCGGTCCACTTCCTGTGGATTCAAATTCAAATTATATGTCAGGCTGAAGTCCTCCTCCCTGTAGATCTACTTGTGAGACATGACTATACATCACGTATAGTTGTTAAGTGTGCATAAGACCACAATGTTCTGATTTAATAGAGGGAAAATGTTACTTAATGAATTTTTGCAATTATTCGACGGTATCGATAACATTAAAAATCTTTTGATTACTTTAAGCACCTTTTTATTGTAAAGGTAACGATCATTTTGTATAATTTTCTTGGAACTACTGAATGTAAACAGGTTTATTGATTTTCGAGGCTATTGAACATAAATCCCTATATTTCAACTTGCGGCATGAATGAAGGTGAATGAAGGTGGGAAGATTGCATTAAAGCCGATCTGAAGGGACTGGGTTTGGACGGCGAACGATGGAGGGAGGTATGTAACAAGCGATTGGTGGTGTCGGCATCGAACCTTCGGGTTCGCTAAGCCTTATTGTTATTGTTATTGTTATTGTTATTGAACATAAAGGCTTTAATGCTGTTTGTTGAGAACTATTGAACATAAAGAGCTTTGTGTCCAAATTTTAGTTTATGAACGAATATTTTTCAAAGAATAAAAAATGAGCGAAAATTTAGGTTTTATTTTGTTTTTTATAATTTTAAAATGAAATTAAAATAGCGTGATTTTGGAATTAGGGTTTGAAATGAACTTTTATTTATAATGAGTCCTAATACAATTTTTCTATTCACTACACAGTCTTCCGATATTTTTCCCTTGAAACAGTTCAATTAAAATTTTTATTTTTAAAAATACTCTCTTTTTATTAATGCAATTCTATTCGCCAAAAAGTAAATCTAAAAAATGATAAGAATGAGGAAGTTCATTTAAAATAAATTATATGAATAATTAAACTTTTATTTTAAATAATTTTCATGAAATTGTACTATAAAAGTTTCAAGCCCTTACTGAACTTATTCAATGACTACATTTCAAAGCCATTTAACATACCTGTTATATAACTTAAATTATTTTTTCTACGAAAATGCGCGTAGACGTGGACAGAAATACATTGGAATGTGTTATTTTTTTTTCAATTGTAGCCTTTGTGATCACATTTACCCCCTCGCCAGGTATTTTGATTTGTTTAGTTCTATTGTTTATATAGATTTACTTTTAGCATTATTATTTTTCAGTGCTATTTATTTTTATTTATTGTAAATAGAGTGTGAATGCGCTCTATGATCACTGTAATAAATGTCCTTAATTGTGACAGATCATAATATTTCTCAATAAATAAGTTTTTAAAAAAATAGTTTTAATGACCTGGACTATAATACTGGATCCTCCCTTAAGAGACCCTCATTGAACAATCCATTGCTGATTGAAATTCTGTATAAGTTTGGAAATATAGATTATTCAATTGTGGAAATATAAATTATTTGTGCTTCCTCTCTCAATGAAATTTTGTGTTCGAAAGCAGAGTAAAAATTGTTTTTATTACCAGTTTACGTGTTTTAGATAAAGGGTACATTGTCCTTAAGACTGAGGTCATAACTAGAAAGCGAGCTGTAAGTAGAGTCTGATTCAGTTTCCCACGCTCGGTGTGGCAACAGGGCGGACGAATTCCAAAAAGGAGTTACTTCGGTTCTAAGAGAGGGCGCTGTCAGTTCATAATACCAACCTCCACGAGTCAGTTGGGTTCTATTCGGATTATTACTTATTGAAAATGATACTCTTTGTGTGAAAAATTTAAAAGTCCGTCTTAGCAGGTGTGTAGTATCTTAGTATCCTCAATATCGACGGGTTGAATTCTATTGCATCATTATTGATTGTCCATACGACATTATTCTGTTGGCAACTCTGCTTTTCGGGTAGGTCGTCCTCCATTCTAAAAGCTGAAGTCAGATTCCTGTGTTTACGTACCGTAATATTCCGTTAATAAAGTAGTTTTAGCCTTAGAAAACTAAATTGTTTCAATTGTGTGACAAATTTTATTTCTGTTGACGAACGATTAATAACCCTTTGGATTTAGCTGATTCACATCCGTTGACCTCACATAATGTAAGTCAATCTTCCATATTAAAGTTAAATTATTAATCAGCATAGTGGTCTTATAAATTACTCAAATATTATTTTGTTTTCAATTAACAGAAACAGTAACCTTTAGCATTTCACTGTATTCAGAAAGATAATAACCGATAAGTGATTTCCTGGAACTGATTTTTATCAAAAGGATATATAATGTTTCAATATAACCTAAAACTTCATGTAATATTTGGTTTCTTATCATTAGTTTTCTGTGTTATTAGGTATGAAATTTTATTTAATATCTTAAATCTATATTTTACATTTCATGCATCCCTTGTTCCTGATTGATTTTTATTTCACCACTAGTCATTTTTATTCCATTATTATTAAAATTAATCTGTTTGATCTAAGTTTTTGGATGTAATTATAATTTTGTAGTTTTTTGTATTCAATATTATAGATTGATTTTTTGAATTGCAGTTTAGCATACTAGTATACCCTTTATAATTTTATTTTATTAACTACTGTACTGATGTGATTGTTAATTCAAGGCTATCAGTTATTTGATTCCGAAACCTCATTTATTAAGGAAGTTGTATCAGACCGAATTGTTTTGTTTCAGATGAACAAATGATAAAAAAATGAAATATATTTTTGCAAATTTAGAAACAAAAATATTTTAAAAATTTTTGACATCAAATTAATAATCTCACATTTGGTTGACAGGTGGGCAAGGACCACACCAATCAAGCTGTACATTAAATTCCAAAACTAGCAGTGATACGAAAATTTTCAGTTATAATAATTGTGATTAAATGAGTTAATATAATAAATGTTAAAAACGTCAAGACAAATAACAATGTGACAAGAAAAGTTTATTAATAAACTGATAAAGATATAAGAAAAATAATTTTTTTTTATTATTAATTTCATATACGTTTATTGGCATGTATGTAGCTTATTGTTACTGATATACAGTGCAATTAATTAATCGTTCAAAGTAAAAAAAATATTTTTGGCATACTGTTGTAAATATTTCTCTGTGATATCTAGGAATAAAAAGACTTATTTAAGATGTATTAAAAGATCTAAATGAATATTCTTAGATTTTTTTATTTTTATATATTTTTATTTTTTTTAAAGCTCTAGGTCAATTTGTTATGTTACTTGTTTAGTTTATTTTGTTGGAAATGTGACCTAATCTGTTTAAAAACAAGCTTCAGCATTCCCTGTTGAGTGTGATCCTGTGATCTTGGCCCACCTGTCAATCAAATGTGATACTGCTTCAGTTTAACATTTAAAATTATATCCCATTTTTAAAGAGAATTACAGAAGTTATATGCTGCCAATATTCTCAATTTGATAATTTCAATTTTTTATTAATTATGACAAGAGCACATATTAAATCTTTTAATTTAGTTATAATATAATATTTTTTCTAATTATGATTTGATGCTAGTTCCCAAGTGTGTCATATGTTGACAGGTGGATCAATATCACATTAATTACAGCATATATTGAATCCCTAAGTTATTAATAAAATTGTTGGTACTTAAAAATGTATGTATTCTTTAATTTTACATCTCTTGTATTCATATGATAATAATTATTCGTTTATGATCAAAGTTGTTTAATTTTTTGTCTCCATTTTTTCTGAAGAAAAATTCAAAATGTGATTATAGAATTAACTGTTCTCATTTTAAAATAAAACAACATTTGATTAGTAATTACTAACTTGAAAATTATATTGATATTTTATGTACTACACATTATTTTTTTTCCTGTTTTTTCTAGGCAGTAGGTTCACTCTTAAAAGTTGTAGGCTCCCCTCGTATCTATTATCTTCCAAGTTCTAAGATGTCAACTGAACAAGAAACTGTTTCCGTTCGAGGAGGATACAATACAACAGATAGAGTGACTGATATGCTAAATCATATTGGAAATTTTGAGAGATTACATGAAAATGTGGCAGGCACTTCACACAGAGAGTGGAATGCTATTGAAGAACCTGTTAACCTTAGAAAAGAGTCTGAACGACTCAAAACATTTAAAAACTGGCCAGTCAACTTCCTTGAATCCAAAAAATTGGCCTTGGCCGGGTTTTATTACTTGAGACAAGATGATAAAGTGCGTTGTGTATTTTGTGGTATTGAACTTGGTAACTGGAGACCTGGGGATGAACCAATGAAAGACCATGCTCGCTGGTCTGGTGGATGTCCTTTTGTAAATAAAGAACCTGTTGGCAACATTCCTCTAGAAAATGATGATGATGATCACTCTTCTGATAGAAACTCTGGTATGTGACAATTTTACCTTTTCTCAACATTCCTTTTTTTTTTTTTTTTTTTTTTTAATAGCGTGGTATTAGTTTAAAATTGAAGTTTATTCAATTTTTATAATAAATAGATTTTGGATTGAGAAATATTATTTTGTCAACCTCTTCATAATATAACATTAATAAAAATCGATCTGACGGAGAAATTCTAGGATTGCCTGAAAATCTGTCTTTTGTTGCTAATGTAAATAAACTGCCAAATTTCATCGTTTGTTGATTAATTAATTTTCTTTAAAAACTTGAATTATAAAAAAATGTTATTTCTTCTGAACTGATCAATAATTGAATGACCAAGCATTTTGTTTTCTCAATATTCCAGATAGTGCCAGTACTTATTTAAAAGAAAAGTTTAAAAGAAAAACAATTTTTTTTTCATGTTCCCTTACAAAATGTTATCCTTGCCCCTTCTACTTATTAATTAAATTACTAATATAACCAAAACAAATTTAGACAAACCAACCTTAAACAACCGATCCCTCAAAACAAAAAAGAATACAAGAGGTTTTCCTACACTACAACAATTTCTATATTTAAGATTAATACTTTTTATTCCCAGTGAATACATCACCAGCAAATGTCCGAAACCATGTAACTAGAAAATAGTTTGATTTCGGGTTTATATTATTTCATTTCTTGTTTGAATTAACATTTTACTATCAACAATTAAAATCATGGATATAATTAACACTCCTAAAGGCACATCTTACTTCAAGTAAGCCTTTACATTGTCCGCAAGTTGTTCTATTTTGTGGGCCAGATCCCCCTACCATGCCCTCCCACCCCCATAAATTGTATATTGTTGTGTTGCTTGTTTAAAAAAAAAAAATAAAATAAATAAATCGCCACACTGTCCTAAAATTGCGTCCACTCATAGTGGACTGATGACTTTGACTTGTGTTAGTTTTTGGTCTCTGATATTCAGCATTTGGCTTAATAATTTTGTCATAATTGGCCTTTTATTAATACTATATTGATGGTCAGAGAATAATAATAATAATACATGAAAAAGTATTTTTTTTAAATTGGCATAGGCCATAAAAAACACCAGTAAAGTCAATCTTTTCAAGTTGTTCAAACAAAAGTGGAAAATCAAGCATCATTTATCATTAAATGAATATTAATGAAAAAACACCATGAAATAAATTTTTTGGAGTATATATTATGCTCATACACTAATTCACTGATTTCAAATATTTGAAATGGTTTCTTAGAAAATGCACATAATCAGCAGAAAAGTGGTACTGGCGTAAGCGCCTACAGTAGTCTTCTGCCACATCAATCAGTACTCATAAATGAGATATTCGTAGTGCTATGATAACATTTTTGTAAATTATTTTGATTGTATTAACAAACAAATATTAATGCAATATTTTAATTGCTTGAAACAATTTTTTTTTTTAAATTGTTTACTCTTTGCTAAGAACGAAAGACAGCCTCTATTTTAAAAATTATATAATTATGATCATAAAACTTAATTCAGTAATACTAAACTGAATATCTTGAATTTAATAGGTTGTAATTTATTATTTTTTGTTTATTTATTGATTCCTAAAGGTTTTTTAATTTTACATGGTTTCCAGTTATGAATCATATTGTTTCTGTTTTGTTCATATTGTCATCTGTTTTGTAAATTAAAATATATACTTCATCTGAATTACATATAATGAATAGTTAACTGGACTATTTAGCAAAAACCATATATCAAATATCAAAAATTTCAGTTTTATTTTTTAAAATTCTTTTATTTTGTTCTGAACATACTTCTTGTATACTTATGTACTTCTTGTTTTGTTCTGGCCATATCATAAACAATTATACAGCTTTAATAATGAATGCTTTATTCCCTCTGCACAAAGAAAAGTGCAAAAGTAAAAGGTAACCGAAAATCATTGGAAGATTTTATTGTTCTCAAAATGGAGAAAGACATGAAAGTTAACCTGAAAATAGGACATATACATTTAATGAATGAGAAAAGATTCTGCAAAATTTCTGAAAAGAAAACCAAGACAATAATGAAAATATAATTTGGTGGAATGAAAATCCGGGAGACAAATGAAGGGAGTATTTCAAGCAGCTGAAAGGGAGCTGCTTCAATTCAGATGTGATTCAGAGGACAATGAAGGTTGGTTTTGATGAAGGTGATTTTATCAGCATGGAAGAATTGTAGGAAGGAATTGGTGTTTGGAAACATTATTTGGTGAAAGTAAAATATATAGCAGACAAAGGAGCTGCTAGAAGGGAGATTGGTCAATTGGGATGCCATTAAGGTGGTTTATTCTGTTATATAGAATGGAAGGAGGTTTATTCTGATGAAGACAACTTTATTTTCTATTGCTATTTAAGTTGCACATTGGGACTATCTTCACTTTGAAGCAGGCTGTTATGAAAGGGAAATAGCTCTCTTTCTACTTAGTTTATCTGGATAAGATCTTTATTGAATTTAGAAACATTATTTGGCAGAACGAATATATAGTAGACAGATAAAGAGAGTATTTGAAAGAGCTGCTATAAGGGAGCTGGATCAGTTCGGATGACATTCAGAGAATGATGATGTAGGATTATTTTCTATTGCTATTCAAGTTTTACATAGGGACTATCTTCACTTTGAAGCTGGTTATTTCCCTTTCTCAATAGATGTCCCTATTTCTCACTATGAAGGTAGTTTCTATATGCTACGTAAGATTTATTTATATTAAAAAATAAAAAGTTTCTCTTTCCACATCGCTCTGGTAATTGATGATTCTTCTTATTCTAGCTTCTAAGACTCTTGATTAGAGCTTCACGGGCACACTGAACATGGATGTCTTGATAGCTATTCCATTTTTGGTTTTTTCATACTTGGGAAGGGACACAACTATAGTTGTACAGTATAATCTTCTAATTGTAAAGTTCAAAAGATGGAAAGATATTCCTGTACTATAGGTATTGGTAGAAAAACCTATACTACAACATTTTAAGAGTCATTTTCCTCGTAACGCCAATTCCTTCCTACAATTCTTCCATGCTGATAAAATCATCTTCATCAGAATCAATCTTCATCTGATTCTCGTCTGAATTTATCCAGCCTCCTTCTAGCAGCTCCTTGAAATATTCCCTTCATTTGTCTACTATATATTTGTTTTCTTTTTAGAGATTTTGGTGATTCTTCCCATGTAAATGTATTTTTCCAATATTCAGGCTCACTTTCGCTTTTTTTCTCATGTAGAAAACATTTATTTAAAAATTGTGTAATTGTTTATGATAGGGCCCAATCTCACGACAAAAATAAATGAAGTAAAAAAAAAAATTATAAAATGTAATTTTGATTATTGATATATGATTTTTGATAACTATTCATTATATGTGATCAAGTATATATATATATATATATATATATATATATATATATATATATATCAAGTATATATTTTAGATTACAAAATAGATAAAAATATGATTCATTTCGAGGAAACACATAAAATTAATGTATCTCTAAGAATCAATAAATTAAAAAAATTAATAAATACCAAACTATTCGAATTCAAAATATTCAGCTAAGTATTACTGAATTAGGTTTTGTTATTATAATCATATAATTTTTATATTAAAGGCCGTCTCGCCATCTTAAATATTCTCTGCAAAGAATATTAGGCATTACAGGCATCCACAGGGTTATCTAAAATAAATATCTACAAAGAACTTTGCTTAAATGTTTCATTTTTACATGTTATTAAAAAAAAATCCTTAAACTGTAATTTGGTTATTTTTCTATTCAACAGCACATTACTTACTATTAAAAAAATAATCTGGTGTGCGCATCACACTTCACTTACCGCTCTAATTTAAATATACATTCTCGTCTGGCAAATTTAGATATTACAAACAATTTTTAAAGTAAATTTTTAATGCAGCTAAACGTTAATGAACATATTTGTGAATTTCGGTCATATTTATCAATGCAAAAATTAAGTAAGACCATCAAAATAAACCAATCAAAATAAAATTGAACACTAAACCTATATATTATTAGAGGCAATAAAAACTTCATAGCTCTATCAGTTAGTTATAACATAGCTATAGTTATAATATGTATTTTACCCATCTATGAAATATTTGTATATTACCCTTCCTTTTTAACACTAGTGCAATAAAATGTTTTTTAAGCAATTCCATTGCCTCAAATTTGTGCATTATATATATATATGATTTTATTGATTATTAATTTATTTAATTTCAAACTTAAGAATAATTTAAAAAAAAAAAATTACATTTAGTTAAGGAATTTCATTTGATTTCCATGGGACTTGGGATTTTACTTCGTTTTCATTAAATAATATTATTTTTTGTAAATTATTATTCATAATTTTTTCATTACTCTACATTATTTTCTGCAACTTTTTTTGTTTGATATTATTTTTCCTAAAAGTCTCAGTTTTTCAACAATATATTATAGGTATACATTCTGCTTGTTATTTCCAGAAATTCGTTTTCCACCCAAAAAAAAAACATTTTTCCTTTTTTCTCCTTTAGTAAATTATCAAATTCTTTCATAGTTTATATTGTACATTTTTTTATTACTACTAACAATGAGATACAAATACTTATACAAAGACATTTACAATAAACCAAATTAAAGGTATTTTAGAGAAAAGAAATTTGGGAAACATGGCATTTAAGCCTTACTAGAGAACATCATTGAGAATAATGCCTACATTATATTGTACAAAACGTTATTATAGCACTATAACTAAGCCATTTATGAGCACTGAATGGTGTGGTAGAGACCTGAAGGCACCGCTTAAGTTAATCACAAATGATGCTTGATTTTCAACTTAAAAAATTTTTTGTTAAAAATATTGACTTTACTGTTAATTTTTATTGCCCCTAAGCCAATTATTTTTTCATGGTTTATTATTTTCTGACTATCCAGCTTTAAGAAAAGACCAACTATGACAAAATTAACCCTATTGCTGATTCTCAGTGACCAAAAAACTAACTAAAGTCAAAGTCCTCAGTCGTCCATGTTTGTGGACGCCATTTTAGGGCAGTTCGTTCACTTTTTTTTTTGTGGGAACATTGGCTTTATTTTAATAAGTAGTTACGAGGAATACAACGATTTTTTTTTTTTTTTTTTCGTTCTCCCCTACCTCGCCTCTTTAGGCTGTACAGGAGTTTTCCTGGGCCAAGGGATGAGGGCGGGGTATTTAAAAGACTCCCAAGGTACTGGGACGCGAACTCGTAATTTTATTTTTTTCAACTTTTGGTTATCTGGTTGCCAGGCAACACGTGTTACTGTGCACACACGTTAGTCCGTTCGGCCACCCCGCCCCATGGAACACAACAATATGCATTTTATAGTGATGTAGAGGGAGAATGCATGGGATGGGGGTCTAGCCCACGGATTACCCTCTCCCCAAACCTTTCCTCCCCATCCATCACCCCTCCTTCAAAATATTAAAATTAATAAATATTTACTTCACTGATGCATATCAGACAGTTTATTGAAGATAAAGACAATAGCATATGATCAAACATGAAAAATAATTTAAATGGAAAATAAAATTTGAAAACCTGTATCTCGTTAACTATTTGATTTACGGAGCCTGTTCTGGTCTTAAATTGTAGCATATTTTATCTATTTTAAAAATCTATAAAATGATTTTTGTCGAAAACTTGCTCCTTCGTGGATAAAATGGGAAAAAGCCAAAAAAAGTGTGAAAATATAGCAGTTCTTAGGATATTCAAAAGTGATCCAGGGGGCACCGAGGTCGAAAAATTAAAGTTTGCATCTCAGTCATATCCCATACAAGAAAATAAAAAGAAACATTCTCCCATTTAATGCAACTTACGATGTACAAGGTTACTCGTCTATATTAGCAGATGCCAATAAATTACTATAATGCCATGATTTTGAAATATGCAACTTACAACATTGGCCTAAACTTGTCTAAACTCACACCTCGTTATATTACCACAAAATTATCAAGATCAAACATGTGCTCAAAAATGAAACTATTGACATTACTTAAAGCATTTCATATTTCATTAGGGATTGGCCTAGGTCAGTAGGTCATGATTCTCTTGGTCCCGGGTTCGAGCTCCATTGTGGTAGGTTATTATTTATTCTGATATAACACCCATGGATTGATCCTGGGCAGACCCTCCTGGAAAACTCCCAGCCTCTATAACTGATCACACTTAATGAAGGGGAAAACCTGATCTTTAATCAATTAAGGGAAAACATCATCTTGATTGAATCACCTCTTGCAAAACTGTTTACCGAGAAATAGTACTTCCTTACAGTACAGAACTTGTACAATAATTTATCATGTATTTATGTTTTAATTTAATCATAACAGTTATTAAAAATTATAAAATTAATATCTGATGTGATAATCACTTAATTATATATTAGTAAAAATTGTATTACATCAGTATACTTCTTCCTTACTGGATATTAATGATTTTACCACAGGAGTAGTAATTTTATTTATTTTTATTTTTTATAGGTTTTGATACTTGTGGGCCTTTCGGTCTACAAATTCAAAGTTGTGGGGATTCAACAGCTCTTCCTGAAAATCCTAAACTAATGGAAAGCCCTAATTTTTTGAAGACCAGACCACCTTCATTTCCAGATTATGCTACAATTGATGCAAGGCTACGGTCCTATGATACTTGGCCTATATCTCTGAAATTAAAACCTAAAGTGCTTAGTGAAGCAGGTTTTTTCTACACAGGTAAGTTTGAAATTATGTGAATATTATTGATGTTTAGATATGTAACAGTTGAGTTGTTTATTTCCATACTGAACTACTGGGGAAAACTAGTCTGGCAAGTAGGCCAATCATGGTTCTTTTTGCCAATGCCTGACGGCTTCCTTGAGGTTGCTGCCGCATACTTACCTTAGTGGGAATGTCACAATCCATTTTCCGGGGTCACTAAGAAATGAAAAGTAACCTATCCAGGTGGGGATAGAATCCACAACGTTTAGAATCGGGCACCCTGGGGCCCACGCCCCAATGTGCTCGCCCATCTTGTCCTCAAACTGAACCCTATACTTTATTAACAATTTTCAGGAAATGCAAAATACTGTATTTTCTACTTCAATTGTAATATCGAAAACCAATATTTTTTAAATAATACAATAAGAAATTCTTTATAATTATTGTGTCAGAAAATATTAAATTGATTCTTGGAATATAATTTTTTTTATTTAAAGTAGCTCCTGTTAGTACTTCACTCTCATCCGTGTTCCATTAACTACTAATGCTTGTGCAATATTTAAGTTAAGAATGAGTATAACTATAGAGTTTACTTTTAAATTTAATTTATGAGGTAATATTTCAAATTAATATTGGTTTTATCAATAAATAATGTGTACTTTTTGAGTTATTCTCAAATAAAATACTGAATTCATCATAAAAATTTATACAGCTTATTTTTGGGAAAGTATCTTATATTTATATACATAAATTATAAATGTTCCAAGGGGAAGACTTTAGCGAAGTTTCATTAAAATTGTTGAAGCTGTATTCTGTAAGCTACAGTCTAAAGCGAATCACGATTTTCGGCCTCCCTTTGGAAAAGAAAGATATGATCCTTATTGCATAGTGGTATCATTCTGACGATGAATCTTGGTGGTTGTGGTGGTTTCAGATTTGTAATGGAGTATTGTGTGTGGTTTTCGAGCATAATATTTTCATACGTAACGTTCATGCAGCCGTGAAGCAACTGTGGCTTTTATTTTTGACTTTTTCATCTTTTGTATAAAGTTATGTTATGTTCCATACTAAAACATCTCTTCACCTGTTAATTTCCCTCCACTGAACCACTGTTAGGCATTACTTCATGAAGGTGCCATCTCATTGTTCCATCTCCATTTAATTGTTTTGAGATAGTATTTATTTTCGGGCTAAAGAAATCTTTTGATCCCTTGTCCTGCTCTCAATTTTTTCAGGACAATTGTGGAAAATTTCTTAACTACTTTCCAATGTTTGTCCATTCACAACACAAGGTTCTCCACAACATAGGTCTTCATCCTCATTAATGTCACCTATTAAGGTTTAAATGTTGAATTTTCAAGCTCTGGATTTTAGAAAAAATGATATCTTGTTTTATCTCTTACTTTCGCCTAAGGTTGTGCTAACATAATTTCCTTGACCAGCTTTTATTTCAAAATTGAATCTTTCTATTTGAAGTGGAGAAAAAGAGAAGGAAAGGGTAGTGTAAAAATGGTCTATCAATTTCATCAAACTCTTAATCAATAATACAAGTTAATGTAAATTAGGCGACAAATAAAGTGGATTTTTTTTTCTTTTAGAATAGTAAAAATTATTTCTTTTAACCTGAATATTGTTTTAATCTTAATTCAGTCTGCTGTGACATGAGTTAATGTCATCTGATTATGATACTTATTTTGAAATACATTACTTAAAATGCATATGTACATGCATTTATGTATTTATTCTAGGAATTTCCACTAAATATTGATAAATAAGGAGGAAAAATATTCTCCAGATAGTTCATAATAGCAGTGGTAATAAAGATGTTAAAGGAGTTCTTTTTTTTTTTTTTTTTTTTTCAGAAATATTTCATAGTAAAAATTAAACAATGTGTTTGTATTTACTCAAATAAATTATGAGGAAGATACTATGGTCTTCTTGGCAGAATGTTGTTTCTTTTTTTCTTTTTCTTTTACAATCCAAACTCAGAACCTCGAATTCATCGGCAAATCATCCAATGCAGGGGTTTCTATAGTTTTTGTTTACGAAAAATCGGGATTGGAATTTTATAATCTAGATAGATTAACAGAAGAATACTATTATCAATTTACTGAATGTGATTAGTTTTGGTTGATGCAGATTGTGAATTTCCAATTATTACTTATACAAAAATCATTACAATTATTTATCAGTACTCAAATTACGAATTTATTATAAAAAATTTCATTGCGAATATGCATTTCAATTTACTACTAATATTACTTAATTTAGTTATACACAGTAATTAAATGTTATGAAAGAACTTCCTCACCAATATCTTGCGTATTTGCAGATAAGGATAATTGACTGTATGAGGGATCCTTAATGTAATAAAAACTTATTAATTTAATATTTGAGTGTGATACAAAAAAAAAATTAAATGTAATGTAAAAAAAAATATTTAAATGATTATAGGAAAAGGAGATCAGACAATATGCTATCATTGTGGAGGAGGTCTTAAAGACTGGGAAGAGACGGACGAACCTTGGGTTGAACATGCTCGGTGGTTCTCAAAATGTCCATTTGTTTTAACCCTAAAAGGAAAGGCATTTGTTGAAGAAGTATGTGGCAAAAAAGCTGAAGAGGTTAGTAATATGATTTCTACTTGGTTATTTTGAATCTTTATAACATCAAGGTTTCATTTAATATTATAGCATAGTGGATAAAGCACTGGCTTCCAATGCTCAAGGTCCAGCTGATGGCAGATAATTATTTATTCTGTTACATCAGCCATGGGTTGATCCTTGGATTGGGGGACGTTCCTGAAGTATATCTACCGTCTGAAAAATGGGTACTCTTAATTAAAATAATTAATTGATGGGTGTTTAATTTATTATGCCTATCCCTTCCGAGCCTATAGGGATATTGATATAATAATTATGCCTTTGTAGCTGGTACATTTATTTGAATTTTTTGGACTGTATATAAGGTATTTGATCATTATATAATTAAACTATTGGGTTGAACATATTGCTATATTTCATTTCTCTTATAATTTGATATATTAAAGCCTTGTCTTTTTTTATTTTTTTTATTCATTGATATTTACAACTGTATTATAAAAAAAAAAAATACAACTAGTAAATGTGCCCACAGTAATAATACAATCACATGAAAACACTTGTTGAGAAACTACCCATTCGTAGCACTCTTCTAATAATATATTTACATAAGTAGATCATGAGGCCATCTTTCCTGGTCTTTTACAATGAATTGTTAGTGGATTAATGAATTCGGTATGACTGTTACAACTATTTTAACTGTGGATTAGGTAGGTGGTGGCTAAAATAAATTATTTATGTACTTGCTGCATTCTTCTCTTCGTTTCCTCTCCTTCCTCTGCTAAGCCTCTCTAGGATTTACTCCATCTCTCTTGTGAAAATGTTCCGATGAAATTATGGATGGCTAGCTCTATCTATCTCTCAAGTAGACATAATTCTTGCAGGAACTCTGCATGTCTCTTTTGTCTTTGTTTTGCTTCTCTTGCCTGCCAAGAGATGGCAGCAGTGCTGCTTGCTTCTTCATTAAATTCAATTTGATAAGTAAGAACTTGGATTTGTTCCCTTAACAATGGGGAAAAGATAGTTGTGCCAATCGCCTCCTTGTACAACCGTTGGCCTTCAAGCAGCACTTCCTCTCTAAATACCGTACCCAAGACTTCATTGATTATAAAGGTAGAGGTTTTGTTTTTGTTTTAAATTAATATTTTTTGTAAACCACCTTACTCCAAGTCTCTTAATATTTGACCGATAGCCAAAAAATGTACAATGTTCCTCATTTTCAAATTGCAAAGGGTACTGAACCTGTTAGCCTGCTCAAAATAACTTCTGTAATTAAGGTTTAACAATTCCTCTTTTTTAGGTACCCAATTAATATCAGTAGTACTAAATTTATCATTTATATACATCCTTGTGACAATTTAGTTCTGTAAAAATTGTTTTTCCTGAAGAGTGGAATGTACATGTTGGTCCTGAAATAATTAAGTCTCAACATTTTTCAACAAATTTTGAAATATTTCTTTCCATATTGTATGTTATTAGTTATCTGTAAAGGAGTACATTTGAACAGGGAATTAACATTATTATACCGAAAATTGGTTTTTGACATTGTCATAAGCCAACAAATTTTATACATTGTAGTATGAAGTACAAACATAAACAAAGCAATATATGAGATAGATTGATGGTAAGATCGAAAAATAGTGGTAAATGGTATTAAATCACACTTCAGCTTTAATTCATTGACACAAAACCCCCTGACTACAATACGTTAAATTCCTCACTCATGCTGTTATTATTATTCAATATTATTAATAAAATGATTATCATTTTTTTCTCTTCAGATAGTTTTTTGCTTGTTCCCTTTTTCTTATATATAATTTAATCCTGCATGGTTAAAAAATTATCATTATTAATTAATGTCTGATTTTAAGCACTTTTTTTTCTTTGTTGAACAATGTTGAAAAGTTTACTTTCATTTTTTATAGGATTTAAAATCTGCTCATCTGAATGGATTAAGCTTGAGCAGCAGTACAGGAGATTTGGAGAAAATTCAAACCTTCACTCCTAGTGTTGAAAATCAAAAGTAAGTATTAATGATTTTTTTTTTTAATCTTGGAAGATTCCTTATTGACACAAATGTTTTATCCATTTAAGTAATTACCAATATTCATAAATTAATTAAAAACGAAGGAGATGGTCCTGGATTGCGGTCATAAATAGGTTAAATAGTGGTAAAACTATTTTATTGAAAGCCGACGTTTCGACCCGACTTTGCAGGGGGTTAAAACTATCTTCATATACCTCTCTTTGCCGTTTTTTAAAATAGAGGAAAACTAAAAAATATTTATTTAAATCATTATTTCAATTCTTAAAACTATTTGAAAAAAAAAAAGTCTTTGTACAAATTAAATTTCATTTTCATTAATTTTCCATAAGTAAAATTTTATTTTATGTTTCTAGTCAGTAGTTTTCCCATTTTTTTCAAAAAGTTGAAAATTTTATTAACAATAATTGAAAAATGTAAGGAATTCCAATTAATAAAATTGGTGGTAGACACCATGTCATTGTCACTGTTAAACATCGCAAAAAAAAAAAATTTTGAAATGTGCAGGTATACTTATCAATTAGAGCAAGCTATATCTCTGTCTTTGGTCAAATCTAGTTGAGTCAACATAACTAGTAATGGCCAGAGACCAGAAATATATGCAGCTTGACACTTTAATATCTATGTAAATCTTATTACAGCTATTTTAAAAACACTATATAAGCCAGAGGATACAGTGTTAAACTGCATATGTTTTGCTCAATTTCTGAGAATACATGTTTATCTCAAAATTAACTTTTTTTGTGATTTTACTCTGTTGAATTATATTTGCAATACGTATATTTACTTTTTCTATTTTATTTTACATTTCCATATCAGTTAAATTTTAAAATTTTATTAATATAACAATACTACATTATGAACTTCTGATGTAATGTATTTAATAGTTTATAGTTGGAATTTATATCAGTCGATATAATTGTATTATATCTTTCTATTCTTCTATCATCTGTTTTTAAATTATATTTTACACTAAATCTTGTTTGTATACTTGCAGGTCCATAAATGAAAGGAATGATGAAGAAAGCAGCGCAGAAAGTTCTTCTTCGGGTATAGGATCTCGGAGTAGTTCAAGAGGCAGCTCAGATGTTCTTCTTTGCAAGATATGTTACACTGAAGAAGTGCGTTCCCTTTTTTTCTTTTTAAATAATTGTTGTTGTTGTTGTAGTTGTTGTTGTTGTTGTAGTTGTAGTTGTTGTTGTTTTGAATGTAGGGGCAAAAAACTGCTGACGGTTATCATTGCCCTCAAATTGTACTGGTTGATTTATTATTAAATGATAAAACTACTATTATAAAATTAAACATGTTTTACAAAATAATAATAAAATAAAAAACAATATATAAATTACTGTCGAGAAGAAAAAGAAAAGAGAGAAAAAAGTATAGAGTAAATAGATATTAAGTCAATATATCGCAAATTTGTGAGAAACATAATTTAGTTCAGATTAGTTGAATTAGCCCTATGTTCTTAATGAATTGAATGGTACTATCGATACGTTGGTCGTTATCTGTTAGTGCCTCACAGAGCTGACGAGGTACACCATGTCTTTCCATCTCTCTCCTGTAGCGAGGACACTCTTCAAAGATATGGCTCACTGTGAGAGCCACTTTACAGAATTGACACTGAGGGGATCTTCTTACAGAATTGACACTGAGGGGATCTTCTTACAGAATTGACACTGAGGGGATCTTCTCTTGCCATCAGGTAGCCATGGGTCAACTGGCAATGTCCAATTCTGAGGCGTGTGATGACTACTTCCTCTCTTCTACACTTTCTGGAGGACGAGGCCCAACAATTGACGGTCGGTTTGATTATTCTCAGTTTATTATTGTCCAACATGATCCAAGTCTGTTGCCATTCGTTAAAAATCATTATGTTGATTGGTTTGAATAACTTTGATGGTGAGATATAAGAGGGTGGGCGTTATTACTTCCAGTTAATGAACCATGTTGCTGCTCTGTCCACTTCCTCATTTCTAGAGATACCAGAATGACTGGGAACCCAGAGGAAAGCTATTTTTTTTTGAAGAATCTTCTATTTGTTTTATGAGATAGTAGATTTCTTGAACAAGAGGGTTTTCTGAAAATAAATTGTAAAGAGCTTTGAGAGCACTCAGTGAATCAGAGCATGCAATTATTGAACGTTCCGTTGATGACTGGGCCAGTTCTAGTGCTTTTAAAATTGTCATCAGTTCGGTTGTGAAAATACTGCAGATACTCTCCATTTTGAATTTTAGAATTTTACCGTCATTCAACACAGCACACGATGTTGACTCATTCGTTTTAGAGCCGTCTGTATATATTATTTTGTCGGACTGGTAATTACTAAGTTCAGCTAGGAACATTTGACAAATCTCTTGTGGGGAGCATTTTTTTGCCTTGGAGACTTTCAACATATTACTGTTTACTTATGGAGGTGATAATGTCCATGGCGGTAGCTTTCTTCGTAGGTTTGTACGGATACTGATTAGTTCAGAAATAACCCATCTCATTCTATACCAAAGTGGATGGTAGGAATATTTCAGTGTTTTCAGAATATTTGTCGGCATTATTCCGATGGAATATAGAATTGTAAGCAGGGTTTTGTGATAGTGTATATATTTTCGTAATATATTTGGCACCCTCTGGCATCCTTTGGCAGCTTTTTACGGCAATATAAAAGAGGTACTATTCCAGCATCCACACAAAGACTGTTTGCCGGGCTTGTTTTGAAAGCTCCAGTGGAGAGGCATATGTCGGCATGGTGGACTGCGTCTAGTTTTTTAATTTTATTATGGCTTGCGGAGGCGTAGATAAAGCTGCCGTAATCAATTTTACTGAGGATTATTGCTTGGTATACGCGGAGCATATTCTTCCTGTCTGATCCCCATCTGGTGTTAACTAATTTCTTCAGTAGGGTCATTCGGCTTATAGTCCTGGATTTGAGTTGTTCGATATGCATAGACAAAGTTAATTTATTATCTAGATGTAGACCTAAAAATCTGATGTGGTTTGTGTACAAAAGTGGGACATTATTTAAAGTGATTTGGGGTGGAGTACTATATTTCCTATGACGGCTGAAGTGTACACATCGGGTCTTATCTGTAGAGAAGTTTAATGCTGTTCTTTGTGACCACAATGCTAAACTGTTTACTACATCCTGAAGACAGAGCTTAATGAATTGAAAGTCACATGATTTGCAGAGGATTGCAAAATCATCAGCAAATAAATAACCTGTAACATTGGGTGTCAAGCAGTCAGTTATAGTTCGAATAGCGATTGAAAACAAAGTCGTACTCAATACTGAGCCTTGAGGTACACCATTGCTTACATACTTTCTTTCAGAAGCAGTTACACCTACCATGACTCTGAAAACCTTGTTCCGAGGAATCCTCTAATAAAGTTTGCAAGATTTCCCCTAACTCCCCATCCGTACAGTTGCTTGAGGATAGGATTGTATTGCCATACTGTGTCAAAAGCATTTTTTATGTCAAAGAATATACCTACCGAGTGTTCCTTATTGACAAATCCATCTTGAATCTCAGTAGTTATTCTGACAAGGTTGTCGATGGTAGAGCGTTTTTTGCGGAAACCACATTGCAAATTATCTTGGACGTTTAATTCTTCAAGTAACCAAATAAAGCGTTTGTTTCACCATCCTTTCAAGAATTTTACAAACGCAATTTGTTAGCGAAATCGGACGGTAATTGGTCATTTCAGTTTTAGACTTTCCTGCTTTTAATACTGGTATTATTATAGAATCTTTCCATTGAATAGGAAAAACACCACTGGTCCATATTTTATTATAAAGTTGTAGGATTGTCTTTAATGAGTCATCAGATAGATGTTTAAAGATTATGTATGTCAGTTCATCAGGACCTGGTGATTTACATCTTAGTTCAGTGAGGATGCTTTTTAGTTCTGTCATGCTGAAAGGTAAATTATATTTTTCTTGTTGTTGTAAAATCAGATGGGTTCTTTCTCGCTTCTTGTTTCAAAGAGGAAAATGATTCGTCATTACCAATTTTATGCGTTAAGAAAAAAGTTGCCAACTCATTCGCAACAATTTCTTCGTCACAAGTGACACCTCTTCCCGCATTTAAATAGATAGGTTGAAAAATACGTTTTCCTTCGATAGCCCGAACCTTCTTCCACACCGTGGAAGATGGTGTATTTGAATTAATGGAAGATACATACTGTTACCAGGAAGTTGTTTTGTGGTAACATATCACTCTCTTACATATTACTTTTACTTGTTTGTATTCTGTGAAATTTTGAAGGGTCATGTTTCTTTTAAAAGCCCTATAGGCTTTTCTCTTCTTTTTTATATCATCTTTACAATCGGTGTTAAACCACGGGACTGGTTGTTGTTTTGGTCTGGATGATGATTTATGAATTTTATAATAATTTAGGAACGATCTGCTGCTTCTCGTATTGTTGAGGTAATGAGAGTGCAGCTCTCTTCTACATCGTCTGGGAGGTCAGGAGGGAATTGAACTTTTGCTGCATATTGTTGCCAGTTTGTTCTTTGATGAATCCAGATTGATCTTTTGCTCATGAAGGGTAGATGCCCAATCATATTAATCATGATAGGGAAGTGGTCGCTGAAATACTGATCGGATATTACATTCCAAAGGGTGTTCAGTAACAAAATGCGACGTCAATGGAAGAGTATGTGCCATATGATGAGCTTAGAAACGTTGGTTCGCCGCAATTGAGAACATTTAGGTTATTGTTATCCAGCATGCTTTCTATTATCTGTCCTCTCCTATCACTTCTTTCTGATCCCCAGATGGTTTATAGGCGTTCAGGTCTCCTAAAAGTAGAAGTGGTCTAGGCAGTTGGTAACAAAGTGATTCCAACTGTTCTGATGTTAGCGGTGTTTGTTGAGGTAGATATACGTTGCATAAAGTGAGGGGTTGCTCACCTAGAATTCTGATAGCAACAGTTTGTAAAGTGGTGTGTAGAACAATCGGTTCGAATTGCATACGGTGAGATACTAGTGTCATACCTCCTCCACAAGCTCAAGCTCCACTAACATTATCTAAACAACAAAGTTCGAAGCCCCTAAGTGTCAACTTATCGCTGGTTTAAGTGTGTTTCCTGCAGACATAGGAGAGTGGGGTGGTTGTCCTGTATCAATAGCTGTAGGTCAGAGAAATGAGTTAAGATTCCATTGCAGTTCCATTGAATTATTTTAACATCGGGCATGGTTATGGAGTAGATAAAAGAATAACCTTACATAGTTCGTATAAGCCATTGAAACAGTGTGGCTTTTAGAATGTAATAACGATATTGATTTAGTTGAGATATAAACAAAAAGGTAGGTTCCAATATTAATGAGATTCAAATTATATGTAATAACTTTATAGATAATGTAATTGTAGAAATAATGTGTTTTTGTGGTTTTCACATTGTTTTAGTAAAATATTAGTCAATGAAGGAAGTTTATATAGCATAATACAATAAAATAATTGTAAATTAGAAGATGATATTATGGAGTGTAACATTTAATTATAAGAGTTAATCAATAGTTAACTGTTTTTTGGTTTTGTTTTTTTTCCTTCCTTTTTTTTATGACTTTGTGGCTGATAACCATCAACAACCGCTTACCCGTTGTCTTCGTCAGTCAACATAGAGCAATCCAGAGAAGATGACTTTCCCGATCAGCTAGCTGCTCTGCTGGTGGAAGAGGTGTAGGAGTAGTGGACCGTGAGGTCCTGATAGGAGGATGAGGGAGGGTATTACAAAGAGAAGAGAATGAGGATGGGTAAAGAGGAAGAGCTGGATGAAAGAGAAGAAGTGGAGGGGGTTGGTGAGGAAGAAGCGATCAAGGAATTGGAAGGAATAAGAGAGGAGGAAATGGGAGGAATAGTCAGAGTGAATACGGTTAAGTTCATCGCCTCCGTTCCGACCGATGTTAAATGCGACCTTATTGTCGATACGTCCGCTGAACTTTTAGGTGTAGCAGTTGAAGGGGTTGCAAAAGTGAAGTTCACTTGAACTCCTATATCTTTTTTTTCTGAGCATTTTGTGGCTTCTGCATATGATTTTAGGAATATAGATGGGTTTTTTTTCTTAAAATATTTTTTGCCTCTATATATGAGATCTTATTATTCGATTGAATCGCCTTAATTTCTTTTTGTAACTTAAAAATGGGGCACCTTTGGTCTAAGGCCGAATGATTCCCCTTGCAGTTGGTGCAGCTCGGGGGGGCAATGAGCAGATCGAGCTATCGTGTCGGGGCTGACCACAGTTAGCACATAGTGCTATTTTTTTTACATTGTTCTGTCGGGTGTGCAAATCCCAAGCAATTATAACATCTATAAGGTTTTGGTGTATGGGGCTCAACATTGACTGTTAAAAATCCTATTTTAAGTGTTTCGGGAGGCTTATGGGTAGTAAAAGATAATATGTAAGTGTGAGTAAATTTTTCCTCACCATTTTTCTTAATTTTAATTCTTAAAATATCTTTTATTATATCTTTTAGTTCTTCTTTTCTTTTCTCCATCGTAGCGAATTGCAGATCATAACATTTGATTACGCCTTTAGAATAATTGAGAGTACGATGAGGACTAACCTCAATTTCAAATTGACCCCCAAAATTCATAGTGGCCAATAATGTTTCTGATTGTTTTGCGTTGGTGGTTTCAATTAACAAATTCCCATCTCTAAGTTTTTGTATGTTTTTAACACTACCAACAACGTTAGTAATAACCTTATTAATAAAAAAAGGTGAAATTTTTTGTAATTGTTTTCACCTTTCCTACTTACTACTAAGTAACTTTTCACCTTTCCTACTCATTACTAAGTAACTTAGGGGTTACATTACGATTGTTATCTGTTAGATTAGAGTTGTCAAGGGTAGATTTTACTCTGCCTCTTTTCCGCCATTTTGAATGTGGACTGGGTGGATCTGTACCGTTCATTGTTAGCTTACGTAATTAATGTTAAAAAAAAAAAAAAATCAAGAATCAGTAAAAAGAATTAGTAAACAATAAAGAAATTTATAATTGTGTGTAGTTATGGGATTAACTTCACTATTTGTAGATAAGTAAAGAATTTAGGAATCAAACAAAAACATGAAAAATCAATAAAACATTTTTGGGCTTATCTGGCTGATGAAGTCCTTGAACAAAACTGCTTCGTCCTCTTCAAAGGTACTTTTGGCACTGAATGTACTTATTTTACAAACAATTTACTTCTTAAAAAAGCAAAAAACTGAGAGAGAAAAACAACCTTTGCATATAGATAGATAGAAAGTAAACTTTATTCTGGGACAAAGTTCCTTATGAATAACAGATATGAACAAAAAAATAAAAACTATATCTGGCCAAAAATTACATTAGTCAATATTAAAGAATATATAGTATCTTCAGTAAAATTATATTAAAACAAGTAAAAATAACACCATTTAAAAAAAAACATTATTTAAATGAAAATAAAACAAACATGGGTTGATTTTTAAAATTAAAACTATAAATTTTAACAACCATTCACACCTCAGTCAAAATCTGTTGCACAATATTTATTTCATTGTATAACGTCATTTTGGGATGTGAGAAGGAATTGGTAAAGATGATATTTAAATGAGGACAAGAAAGAGGCATGGCGGATATCAGAAGTCAAGGAATTCCAGAAGGCAGTGGATCGGGTAATAAAGGAATATTCAAACGTCTTAGTTCTATGGGATGGGATATAAAGGTCAGAAACACGGGATTTTCTGGGAGTGGACCACGGGTTTAAACTGTAGGAGACTGTTGATGTAGGAAGGGTGTCGGGTGTTGATCGTTTGGAATAGGAAAGATCCAAGGAAATATTGTCTGTTGAAAGAAGAGAAGAGCCACTTTAACTTGTCGTAAAGGGGAGACACACGAGACCGCCTCGATGTACCGAAGACAAATCTTAAGCACATATTCATGAGTTGCTTCAATCTATCCTCGAGTACCATCGGGGTGCCTCCGTACACCACACAGCCGTAGTCAAAGTGGGGGAAAATGAGAGAGGATACAAGGAGCTTGCGGATGGGTTGTGGGAGTAGGTGGCGGGAGCGATGAAATAGCTTAAGGGTACCTATTGGCTTACGAGAGATTATACTATGACACCATATGATCATATATGTTTAAATAATTAATCACTTACATATTTTATCAGTTCTTCATGATTGACCAAGTTATTTTTTCCTCTGACATAAATTTAATTGAATGACTCCTCAAAATATATCGTGGCTTGATTTGAAAAAAGTACTAACTATCAAAATTTGGTAAATTGAATTTTCACTCAGAAATCACTCACAGCAAAGTTATATATGTTCCAAATGAATTTTAGAGCCTCCGGTTGAAAAATAAAGAAACTAGCAGTGCGACATAGCTCTAACTGTTATACCATGTAGCTGTACTTGATTTATAGTTATTTTAATGAGAATTAAATATGAAATTATAATATTAATTATCATTTATATTATTGGTAAAGATCTGTTCTATGTGTATAACATATTTGAATCGATTATTTTGGCTACGTTATATGTGATATTTTTATAATAATTTTTGAAAAACACGAAAATCTATAGTATTACTAACAAATTTGAAAGTGAAAAATCTAACAAAAATATCTAGTGTAAACAAACAGATTTGACTTTATTTATTATATTTTTATACGAAAAACAATAAATTTTTCTATTATATTTTCGGATTCGATGTTTATTGTTTTATATAAATATTTGGTATTTATTAATCATTAAACCCAAATCTGAGGATTTTTTTCTTGGCCACAAAGATTTATTATTAAAAATAATAAACAAAATGAACCGTAAACATGTCACTTGCCCATGTACCAAAATATCATTCCAACTCCAGTTAAGTATGCTCGTTTTGTCTTATCTTTAGGCCAATTGAGAATCTGAATGTAAAAAGATTTATAGTCAATATAAAATACATTCTGCATGAATGTAGATAAAATATTGTCATATAAGTTTTAACACCACAAAAATAAATTCTGGAATGAAATTATAACTGTGAAATTTCAATATTCAAAATTATATTAATAAGTGTTACAACTAACGAATGCAAATATAAGTTCCTTGCTTCAAGATATACAAACTAAATAGTTAGTGTAAGTAACAAAATAAAATATTCATACTACAATATATTGTAACTTTAAAGCTCTGTTTCTCAAAATTATAGTAAATGCAGTTAAAATTAATGCAGTTCTCAAACCAAGACCACAATATGAAAGGTGTTTTACGTTTTAGGGAGATTTCCATGTGCAAAACCTTTCGATTAAAAAGTAGAATATTAATGAGTTTTTTATAACAGAGCTTAACTGTGTATTTATTTTATTGCTTTGCATAATGAATCATCAAATATATATTAAAGCTAATATTTCATTTAAAGCCATAATTAAAAAATACTGTTACAAAATAGGTAGTAAAAATAAATTGTCAGTGTTTGTAGCCATATAAATAGTATCTCAAGATTCAAAGATTATATATTAAATTCTGTTGATCAGCTGCAGATCAAAAAAAAAAAAATTGAGTTTTGCTGGATTACTTATTATTTAATTCACAGGATAATGACAGTAGATTTATTTATTTACCTTTTACTATGGGCTTGTATCTTTTGCGGTGTCAATGGGAGACTCCTCTTCAGCACTGGTCTATTTCCCAGAAATTGGCAAATGTGACGGATGCTCTGTTTCAGACAATTTTCAATTTCGGGGACAAAGTATGAAAGTGTGAGGATCTGTAAGGGATTGAAGCGAGTAATATGGAACCATCGCTGATAGTTAAAAAAGTAAGACCCCCTGAGGGATAAGAACTGGAGCTAGTTCAAGTGGCAGGGAATTGGTGTGTCCCATTTTAAAGTAAACCCATGGGCCAATAAAATTATTTACGAGAGAAAGGTACTCACAGACTCAAAATGGACAAACGTCAGGAACCCCAGCTCATGTGTTGGACAATTGTTTGAATAACATGCTTCATGGAATGAAGAAATATAAATGTTTCCTCGAGGTTTATTGTCTCAACTAGATTCGTCGTCATCCTAACATTCAATGTTATGGAAAAGGAGACACTAATAGTGGATCTCACGATCAGTTAGGAAACAAACTGTCACGATCAAGACTTCAGGGTACAGGAAGAGAAGGAGGATATCTATAAGATATGCATACCTTACTTTAAGGAAAAGTATAGAGATGAATTTGGCGAAAGTCAATTCTCAGTTAAAGGGCTATGGTTTGGAAGCAGGAGAACGATCCCTCTTACTACAAGTAATTTCTTGCAGTGGCTCGGTATTAAAAGAGTAAAGCAGATGCAGATCATGAAAAAAAATATTGTTTTAGACTTGTTGAGAATTCTCCATCACCCCATATATTGGCCTTTGCTTATTTGACTCTGTAAGCCCCGTTCTTAGCATATTTGATATGTATTCCAATAGTACGACAAAACTCTCATTTTTTATTTGTTTAATATTATCTATTGAGTGATGAGTGTACTAACTCTCATTTTTTATTTGTTTAATATTATCTATTGAGTGATGAGTATACTGTGTTATTTAGCAACTCAACACAGTTGAGCGGCCGTGCAATATTATTCTAATCTCCCTCCATTAATAATATTTTTTGCCATAAATATATTAAATAATCTTTTTTTTGTCTTGTTTCCCAGGTTGGAGCAGTCTTTCTACCTTGTGGTCACATGATGGCCTGCGTCAAATGTGCATTGTCTCTTTCAACTTGCGCAATATGTAGGAAACCTGTTACTGCATTTTTTCGAGCATTTGTCTCCTGAGGACCAGTTGAGAAACATTCAATCTCTAGTCAAAAGAGAGTTGACACAAGAAAGTGTACACAAGAAAAACATTTTTAAAGGTTATATAAAGTATGGTTGGATTATTTTTATTGCATCATAATTTTAAGAATATTATCTCCTACTTCAAGAATATTTATTTGTGGGTTTTTAATCAATTTCATAATGCTAATTAGACAGGTCAAAGCCTTAAAAATTTTAATTTAAGTAGATACTATTTTATTTTATTTATGTATAGCCTGTTTACAAATAATTCTTACCTAATCTCTTGTATGCAAATAAATATTTTGTTAATGTTGGAGGAGTAAATTTTTATTGTCTAAGTCATGAAAATAATCCAGCCATAGCTCTATGCCTCAAGAAGCTTATCTTTTATTGTTGGTAATAACAATGATAATGATACAAATGTATTAAAACTTGTTTACAGTAGTATTATTTTGTTTTATTTTTAAATTCTGCTTTGTAACTAGTTAAAATATTAATTACTTTATACATTTGTCATAATTTTACTTACACAATACATTAAATTCAAAAGGGAATAATCTCAAACCTCCGTGAATAGTAGCAAAGGGTAGTGTCATCATTATTAGGAAAGATAATTTATTTACTTTATTTTTATATAAAGATCTTATCAGTCAGTCAATTGCCAGGATTCGTTTTCATATTTCATTCTTAGAGGTCAATATAAATACTCGTTCATTCTTTTGAGTGGCATTTAGATCTTTCTAATAGAAATTAATGTTGTTTTTTTTAACTGCAACCTTTTTTTTGTTTTTAAAACTCACATAATCCATTTATAAATGTACTTGTTATAGAATTAATTTCTTTTAATTATCTCAAAACCAAAGCTAGATGCTATTATTTACTTTTTCATTTAAAAATGTCATCACATTTTTTATTTGCACTATGCAGCTATACACATATATAATATAATTAAAGTTATTTTTGTTAAATCTTTTTGTAAAGTATATTTATTTAGTTGTTCACTGGATAGTGTCGCAAAAAAATAAAATATAAGTATTCACTGAATACACTAATAACCATTAATAATTTATATTTATAATTTTCTATATAATGGATTGATCTAGTGATGTTTTGAAGAAATTATTGGAATTGTTAATGAACATTATTTTCGAAGTTTGGTTTTTGTAGAAGTGATATCTGATCAATGTTTAATATATTTTAGTTAATTTGTCAAACAAATTTCTTTGAATGCCCCAAAATATAACTTAAATATTATTTTTAAATGATCTTGTTTGTTAATTTGGGATTAATGTCCATATGTACTCCAACTATGGCTGGGAAGACGGATTTTCCTGCAGGTAACCAATTCTATAGTTTGACCTTGATTAGTTGGTAGCACTGGGGCAAACTCATGCAGTACTAAGTAAAAATAACATTTTCTTTTTTTCGCTATCCTTCAGCCATTATAAGCAAAATATTTAAAATTAGAAGATCACAAAATCAATGTTCAGAAGATGTATATATTTGTGAATAATTTGTTAGTAATATCTGAGATTTAGGCAAAAAATAAAATCTGGCGTTAAACTTAGTGCCACATGAATTCATCCTCAGGCTGCCAACTAATTGTGACTACTTAGTGGTCGTGACTTATTCAGTGAACCCATCAGTAAAAAAATCCAAACTTCACAGGCCGTATTCTAACCAGTGCTGCTTTTTCTGACTCAAAAATGCTACAGTAGGCTATGCCTTACACGCTTGACCACCACAATCTCAAAAATGATGCTCTATTTGAGTAAATATAATTTTACTACTTTTTCAGAAGAAGGATGATAAGCTGTTAGATTTTTTTTTTTAGTTATCTATGTTTTAGTGTCCCTCTCAATCTAAAAAAAAAATAGTAAAATTTTGTACTGTCACCCTGATTATTAGAACCATGTGTTCTCGTTCTTCTTAACTACTCACTTTGTTCAGTGCTGTGGGAAACCTAGAGAGTGTCAAAATAAATCTTTCTGAATGGTACTACATATAAGCTGTCAATTCCGATCCATTTTGCCAGTAATTTATACAAATTTTCAAAAATCACCATTTTGCAATTCTCCTAAAAGTTAAATCATAACTTCTTTCTCTGAACTCTCAACTTCTTTATATTTCTCAGAATCTAGTATTACCAAAAAAACTTCGGTGTGTGCTTTAGACCGCATGATAGAAGTGAAAAGATCAACAAGGCGAGATTAATAATATGAATTCTAAATTATTTTTTGTTCAATATTCACAAAGTAATAACATACAATTATAAATGTGTATAAATTACTCTAGTAAACTTTGCTTTGACTGATCTTCATTTGTATCATAATCTTAAAATGATACAATAGGTTTATGATAGCTAATATATGTGATGAATACTTTTGATTGAAATCTATTAACTAATTATTTAACAAAAACTCCATCATTTTTTTCATAGAACTTCTACAGTTACAACTGCGGTCAGTAATTTGTCGAAACTATATCGAGTGCAATACAAAATCAAATAGAAACATAATTTCTTATTTCTTAGACTAATTAAGAAATATCTATACTGACTTCCACAAATTGGTTTCTGAATTCTGTATAGTATTTAAATTTTGAGATATTTTAGTTTAAAACGGTCATTATTATTTAGTTTTTCGCGTCTATCTTTATCACTTTCCAACTCTCTTAACTCTGTGTCACGTCAAAATACATTTTTATTTATAGCTCATGAAAAAGAGGATGGAATGCTGAAATTTACCTTGCTTACATTATGCAGGTCCGATTTTTAGGTTCTGAGATATTTCAATCCATATTTTCAGCAAAACTTATTATCATTTGGTTTTTGACACTATTTTTTCTCTTTTTGCCTCTCTGACAGGGCGTCACGTTAAGATACACTTTTGAATAATAGCTCATTACAAAGGGGATGAAATGATTAACATTTCCCCAGCTTACAGTAAGCATGTCCGATTTTTAGTTTCTGAGATATGTTAATCCATATGCAAAAACACTTCAATTAATCAACTCGAGCCGACTTTACCTGAATAAGCATTTTACATCCGAACCTGACTGCTCATTCTAATTCACTACCCACAAAAAAAGTGCAAAGCGCACCTAAGCTTTATTAATTGCTATACAATTGTATAACAGCCATACAAATACATATCACCACCAATTTTTACTATGGATACAGATTCTTATTCTATTAATATCTTCATCCATTCTATTAGTTCTGCTTAAGAACTTATTAATTGTTGCTTTTGATTAAGGGATAGTGTTAATTTTTTTTTTAAGTCCCGGTATATCTTTTAATTCGAGGCTTAAGTGTTCTTAATTTGTGGAAGCTGTTGTTATAATTTTATCTACCACTTGAGATAAAAGACTGGCATCATACAATTACATTCATTGTTGGGTAATAAAAACCTTGTGCCATAGGGCAGTGTAAGAATTAAGCAACAAGATATATAAGTATATATTGCATGTACTTACAATGTGATAGTTGAAAAATTATAAAAATCTTGGGATTGTTATTGTTTTCTAAATAATCAATGCAATGAATCCTGATCGTTATTTTTTTTTTATAAACTAACCCACATATGAAATAAATATATTTATATCACCAATCAGTATTAATTAATATACTTATATGTATCTTTAAAACTGGTAACATAAATTAAAATGGGGAATAATACATTTATATTTAACCAGATTTTTAAAAATCAAATATACAAAATCTCATAGACAATAACACTACATCTCTGCCAAAATACTCATTTGCAATGGCACATTCACAAACATTATAATACTATCCTGGGGTTCTTGTAGGCTGGGAATTTAATATTCTAATCTCATATTATCTTCCTAGTTTTCCCAAAATGGTTTTCTAGAAACATTTCTATATTTAGAAGCTTTCTATTGAAATGTTGTCATTTCATTTTCATGGATGGATTATATCTCCAAGATCAGTTAATAAGGAGGTGTACAAGTAATGGACATGAATGCTCTAGCACACGGGCGGATCTACGGAGGAGGGGGAGGGTCTTTCGGGCTGAAGCCCCCCCCCCCCAAATCGAAAAATATAACCATGTTTTATGGGAAATTTTTTTTTAAAAATACCTCTTAAAGTATTATTGTTTGTGTTATAACATTTAAAAGTACTTAAGGAATAACTTAAACACCATTTCATATAGGTAGTTAGTTTCTTTCTATTTTTCCAAAGTAATTATCGTTATTTTTATGAAAAAAAAAAAGGTTTCGGGCTGAAGCCCCCCCAAAATTAAATCCTGGATCCGCTAGTGCTCTAGCATAGGAACGAAAAACCTGCTATTCATGGATCAACTAGTCAATAAAAGAATCATAAAACATCACAACAAGGGTTTATTTCCTATTGTTTGAAGTTTGTAGTTGGTGCTAGATTCGGTTTTAATTTTGTAAGCCTGTTCTTAGGCAACTATGTTTCCCAACATATTTTTTCGAAGAAGTTTTCTGCTCTTCTGCGTCGGAAAGTTTTAAATCTGTTTGGTTGCCCTTTTCCATTTTTACTTTCACTGACTTATACATGAAACATATAATACGTGAAAATGTTCGAAATCAAGTTTTCAACGGAAATACACGTTTTGAGGTCCCCTGAGTCTTTAAATAACGAAGTCTAGCAAAATGGTCCGTGTGTGTGTTAACAATCTAGCTCAAAAACGAAAAGTCTTAGGAAACTGATATTGGCTGAGCATGGATCCCAGAGTGCCCGGTTCTGAATGTCACGGGCGGATCTACGGGGGGGGGGGCTTTCGGGCTGAAGCCCTCCCAAAATGGTAAAATGTAACCATATTTTACATAAAAAAATACTTTATACTATCTCTTAAAGTATTCTTGTTGGCGTAATTACGTTTAATAGGACTTCAAGAACCACTTAAACACCATTTCATATAGATAATTAATTAATTTCTTTTTTTTCAAATTAATTATCGTTATATATATATATATATATATATATATATATATATATATATATATATGAAAAAAAAGCTGTCGGGCTGAAGCCCCCCTCCCCAAAACTAAATCCTGGATCCGCTAGTGCTGAATGTTGTGGTTTCGGTTTGTGTCGTTTTTTTTTTTTTTTTCGGTGACCCCGGGAAATGGATTATGGCGTTCCCGCTCAGGAGTTCACAAAAAGGACCACCAAAACCCCACTTGCCGGACTAGTTCCCCCACCAGCACCCCTATCAGTATATGCCTGGGATGTTATGGCAACTTTTTCGTTAAAATCGGCTAACCGGAACTGCCACTTTCTATCATACGTTTTAGACATTTTTACGATTTTCTCGAAAACTGCTCTAACCATTTTGACGTTCTTTTTAAGGGCTTGAATACCTAATTTTATAAATATCTTTCTCTAAAACACTTTTAAGTTTTTTTATTTAAAATAATTAATCATCTCACTTAGAACCTGATTTAAAAAATAGTGAAATATGAAAGAATTCCATAAGATCTAAAGGAGAAGTAACCTAATATATTCGTTATTAATAGAGAACCAAAGAAATCAGAACACGCAGCCGAGGTTGGCCGAAGGTTAGAACAGAATTCTATACATAAACATGTGCGGTTTTCATAAATAGCTTTAATGTTTATTGTATAGATTACAGAAGTATAAAAATTAAAATTTATATAAATTTAGTGGCTTTCATTATCAGGGACACTCATATCGGACTAAACATATTTGTGGCACTTGATTATTTATTATAATCAAACAAATAATTAAAATATGCAATCGTTAAAGGCAATGTTTTGCGAAAAACCAACAACATAAGTATAATACTTTAGACTGCTGTGAAAAACATGGGAATTGATTGTTTCAAAAAATATTTTGTACTGTGTAATTTTTACTTTCACTTCCTTTTGCCTGAAAATGCCTATTTCTGTTTAAAAAAATAAATAATTGAAAACTGTGTGAAGCGCGTAACAGATTTTTACTTTCATTTACCTATATATGAAATATATAGTGAAGGAAAGTATTGTGGTTGGAATCTCAGTTTTCAACGGAAATACAAGTTTTGAGGTCTTCTGAGTCCAAATAACCAAGTCTCACAAAATGGTCTGTGTGTCTGAAATTGCGTATTTAAAGTTTGTATATGGCTGGCTGGCATGTTATGGCAACTTTTTCGTCAAAATCGCCTAACCGGAAATGGCACTTCCGGTTGTGTTAAATTATCGATTTAACATATTTTTACGTTTTTGAATAAATTCGCTATATCATTGTAAAAT